ATGGTGTCTCCTGTCCCCAGCCCTGTGTCCCCAGCCCTGTGTCCCCATCACGATGGTGTCTCCTGTCCCCAGCCCTGTGTCCCCAGCCCTGTGTCCCCACCCTGATGCCATCTCCTGTCCTCATCGCCCTTTCTGTCCCCAGCCCTGTATCCCCATCCCGATGGCATCTCCTGTCACCATCCCAACTGTCCCCAGCCCTGTGTCCCCATCCTGATGCCATTCCTGTCCCCGTCCTTGTGTCACCGTCCCTGCGTCCCCATCTCGATGCCATCCCTTGTCCCCATCCTCTGTCTCCACCACTGTGTCCCCGTCTTGTCCCCACCCTTGTGTCACCATCCCATCCCGATGCCACCACCGTGTCCCCATCCCCACGTCCTCTTGCGTCCCCGCACCCATGGGCACATGAGGGGACATCAGGGGACATCAGGGGACACCAGGACACACCACAAGGTCCTGGTCACACCATGGTGACACGGCCCAGACACTCGGTCTGGGGACACCCCAGGGGACATCACAGGGTCCATGGTCACCCCAGGGGACATCATGAGTCCCACCAGGACACAGCACAAAGTTCTGGTGACACTGTGGTGACACAGCCCAGACACTCGGTCTGGGGACAGCCCAGGGGACACCAGGACACAGCACGAAGTTCTGGTGACACTGTGGTGACACAGCCCAGACACTTGGTCTGGGGACAGCCCAGGGGACATCACAGGGTCCGTGGTCACCCCAGGGGACACCATGAGGTTCCAGTCCCACCAGGACACAGCACAAAGTTCTGGTGGCTCTGTGGTGACACAGCCCAGACACTCGGTCTGGGGACACCCCCAAGCTCCCCGGTGACACTGTGGTGGCCCTGTCCCCTCCCAGGTGACCTCCTGCCGGCCGATGGGGTCCTGATCCAGGGCAACGACCTCAAGATCGACGAGAGCGCCCTGACCGGGGAGAGCGACCACGTCCGCAAGTCCCCGGACAAGGACCCGCTGCTGCTCTCGGGTGAGGGACGCTCGGGGACGCGGGGGACACCGAGGGGACGGCGCCGTGACCCGCGGTGTCCCCGCCAGGCACCCACGTCATGGAGGGCTCGGGCAGGATGGTGGTGACGGCCGTGGGGGTCAACTCGCAGAGCGGCATCATCTTCACCCTGCTGGGCGCCGCGGGGGACGACGAGGACGAGGGCAGGGACAGGAAAGGTGACACCACAGCCGGGCGTGGCCGCCGGCTCCATGGGAGCTGGCACTGGTGGCATTGTCCCCACGGGAGCTGGCACTGGTGGCATTGTCCCCATGGGAGCTGGCACTGGTGGCACTGGTGTGTCCCCATGGGAGCTGGCACCGGGTGGCATTGGTGTGTCCCTAAGGAATCTGGCACTGGGTGGCACCGTGTGTGGCTGGTGGCCTTGGGGGAGCTGGCAATGAGTGGCACCGCGGGTGGCTGGTGACCCTGTGCGATCTGTCACTTGTCCCCAAATCCCTCCCATGTCCCTGAAGTCTCCAGGTCCTTCTGTCCCCATGGGCTCTGTCCCAGTCTGTCCCCAAGGTCTCCAGACCCCTCTGTCCCCCTCTGTCCCCATGTGCTCCACCCCTCCCATCCCTGTCCCACCCCAGGTCACATTTTGTGGTGTCCCCACCCCAGTGGCTCTCCCTGTCCCTCCCAGGTCACATTTTGGGGTGTCCCCACCCCGGTGGCTCTCCCTGTCCCCCCCAGGTCACATTTTGTGGTGTCCCCACCCCGGTGGCTCTCCCTGTCCCCCCCAGGTCACATTTTTGTGGTGTCCCCACCCTGGTTTCTCTCCCTGTCCCCCCCAGGTCACATTTTTGTGGTGTCCCCACCCCGGTGGCTCTCCCTGTCCCCCCCAGGTCACATTTTGGGGTGTCCCCACCCCGGTGGCTCTCCCTGTCCCACCCCAGCTCACATTTTGGGATGTCCCCACCCCGGTGGCTCTCCCTGTCCCACCCCAGGTCACATTTTGGGGTGTCCCCACCCCGCTTTGTCCCGCAGGGAAGCCTCAGGACGGCGCCGTGGCCACCCCACAACCCAAAGGTGCTTTGGGGTCGGGTGGGGACAAGCCCAAACCCCCCTCCCGGTGTCCCCCCCCGGTCCCCCTGCCACGTGGCCGGTGTCCCCAGGCAAGCGGCAGGACGGGGCGGTGGCCATGGAGATGCAGCCGCTGAAGAGCGCCGAGGGAGGGGACGCGGCCGACGGGCCGGGGACGCGGCCCCGAGGTGGCCCCAAGAAGGAGAAGTCCGTGCTCCAGGCCAAGCTGACCCAGCTGGCCGTGCAGATCGGGAAGGCAGGTGGGGGCTGGGGTCCCCAAACGAGGGGACAGACGCTTGGGGACCTGTCCTGAGGGGTGGGGACACTGTGGGCAGGTTGGGGACACATCCCCGAGGTGGCACCAAGGACAAATCAATGCCCCAGGTCAAACCGGCCATGCAGATCAGGGTCCCCAAATGGGGTGGCAGGGGGTTGGGGACACTGGGGACATGTCCTGAGGGGTGGGGACACTGTGGGCAGGTTGGGGACACATCCTCGAGGTGGCCCCAAGGACAAATCAGTGCCCTGGGTCAAACTGGCTGTGCAGATCGGGGTCC